TCTCTGTCTCTGCTCTCTCTCTCTCTCCGTGGTATGACATTAACCCTAATTTTTATGTATTTAGTTTTTGTGTTTGTAAATGTGTTGTATTTTTCTGTCAATGTTAGGGTTTTACTTGTGAATTATTAAATGTGTTAGGGTTTTACTTGTGAATTATTAAATGTGTTAGGGTTTTACTTGTGAATTATTAAATGTGTTAGGGTTTTACTTGTGAATTATTAAATGTGTTAGGGTTTTACTTGTGAATTATTAAATGTGTTAGGGTTTTACTTGTGAATTATTAAATGTGTTAGGGTTTTACTTGTGAATTATTAAATGTGTTAGGGTTTTTACCATTGTGGTTATGAAATTAGGGTTTGGAATTTTTTGGCATACGGGTTAGGGTTTTTCTGTCAATGTTAGGGTTTTGAAATGAAATTGAATTTTTTGGAATCATGGTTAGTTTTTGAATTTTTCTGAAATTTTTATTGGTTTATCAAAATAAAGTATTTTTAATTTGAAACATATACTGTCATTATATAATTTGTAAATAAAGTATTTTTATTTATTTGGTTTTTTATTTTTTGGAATAAATTGAAATGCTTTATTTTTTTTGTAATATTATAGCATCAATGGATTTTATTTTTTTGGTTCTAATATTATAAAATTAATAGATTAAAATCTAATTGTAAGTGAAATTCAACAATCTATTTCAAAGAATTGTTTCAAGTTAAATGAGCTTCCAAATAAAGAAAGTAATATTATTTATATGATTTATAAATTTATATTTTATTTATAATGAAATATTAATGCTTTTTGTTTTTTTATTCAAGAGGATACTATCATTTTATTTTGTTATGTTTTTTTTTATAAATTAGTTAATTTCATTATTTCAAATGTGAGAACATTTTTGTCTATGTACAAAAATATCTAAGTTTCATCATATTTATTTCTATTTATGTTTTACATTCTCCTATACAAATGAAGATAGTTAAAATAGAAATCAAAGCATGTAAATGTCATTAATTTGGGAGAAATTGTAGAGGTCAAGACTCGAGACCTGCATTGTGATACCCAAGAGACAAAGGATCCATGTTTCTTTGGGACTATTTAGGGGTTTTGTTTATTGGGTTTTGAATGTGTTAGGATCACATATGGATGACCTACCCCAAAAAACAAATTAAATTAAAATTTTAAAAAAAAAAATAGGAAAGTTTTGTCACATATGTATACTCTGATTAATTTAAGGGAGAGAGAATTACATGGAGGATCAAAATATTTTACATATCCTCATCTCTTGAAAACGTGATAAGATTCACTAAATGCTAGATTTAATATAATTTGATCATCCCAAAATTTCATGGACCGTTACAACAAAACCAAAATATTAATAGGGCTACCCAAAAATAAAATAAAAAATAAAATGAACATAAACAAATTTCAAGGTTTCAAGTCAAAGAAAGGGCACAACAACTCAATCTGGCTTTGCTCCCGTTTGGGATATTAGTTTGGGCTAAAATAGTCATATAAGATAAAATAAGTTATTTATTCATATAAGACAAAATGTTACATCTAAATCATAATTATTTTATTTTTTCTCTCATAAAAGTCAAAAAAACCTATCACTAACGACATTTTTTAGCCCCAAATTAAATAGTCAAAAAATTTCTTTTCTTTTTTTTTTCTTATTTTATTTTATTTTTAATCTGTGTTCAAAGTTATGATTCAAACACAATCATAATCAAGTCAAATGAAGGGAATTCATGAACAAGTGAAAGAGCTACTCATCATTATGCAAAATCATAGACTGGATTTCTATTGGGCAATTAGCTAATTTAGCTGTAATATATATAATTTTAGGATGTATGTAAATAGTGTTATGCCTTCTAAATTTAATTTTTGTCAATCTTAGGTTTCGTTTGGCATGTCATGTTTGGGCTAAAATAGCTATAAAAAGACTCTTGACCAACAAGCTAGTTCTTTGTTTCATACTTTTGCGAAGTGGGTTTATTAGTAGAAAGAAGAATCTCCAATGAATAGCGTTTTTCCTGCAAAAAAAATTTAGTTGTGTTTCATACTTTTGCTGAGGTACCCTTTTCACCAATCAACTTAGTTGCATATCGGAAACCATAGAGACCGTTCCAAACTAGGACCGGTTGCTCACCCGAATGTAGCATTGTTTGAAACCGCATGTTTGCGTAGTGAACCCCTCGCTCCTAATGAGATTAGGATAGGGTAACCCTACCCCATCATAGGGGTGTTTTGGCTCTCACTTGCTTGATATGTGCTTTTAGAGTGTAACTCTACAATAATGTATGTATCAGTTGCAAGTCTGGGTATCAGTTTGAGGATATCCATTTTGAGGCAAAAAATTTGGGATAGAAATCAGTGTTTGAGTACAATCATCCAGCTTATGATTTCAACTGTGTGTTGTCACTGTCTAAGCTGAGGTGCTGTGCGTTTTTTTATTTTTGTTTCTTTTGTTTTTTTTTTCTTTTTGCAAGTTAATATTTCACAATTGCTTCAGACGAGGCAGTTACCCCCCGAGTACTCTGGACCAGAGTAAAGAGGATTTACCGATCTGAGGATCTTATTGGAGGACAACCAGTGTTTGCTTCACTACCCCCGGTTACCTAACGGAGGAGAGTTAGGCATATCTCACCGGTTCAACAATCGCCAATTCAGCAGTTACTGATTACTTCACCTCTGCTAGGTCAAAACCAGTTATCTGTTTCTACTTCAGAAAGGGAAAACACACCAGTTTTGACAGATCAGCACCTCGTAGACAACATGGAGGACATGATGCGCCAACTTCAACAGACTATCGAGAATATGCAGTTGGACGCTGCCTGCCAAGCAGAAATTACCACCCAACAGGCTGAGTTGATTGCTAGGTTACAGCAACAACAGCTGTAACACTCAGCAGGCTGAGTTGATTGCTAGGTTACAGCAACAACAGCTGTAACAAAATTTGAACTGAAATCGCTATTATGAATAGCGTTTTTCCTGCAAAAAAAATTTTGTTAAAATCGCTATTATAAATAGCGTTTTTTTGGAAAAAAATTTTTGTTAAAATCGCTATTATCAATAGCGTTTTTTGGGAACAAAATTTTGTGTGAAAATTTTGTGTGAAAAGCGCTGTTAAGAACAGCGTTTTTTATTGGGAAAAAGAATAACACTAGAAGCGCTATTTGTAATAGCGACTTATTAATCAAAAGCGCTATTTGTAATAGCGATTTTACTGTTCATCTACTTTTGCGGTCCTAACAGTAAAAGCGCGAATAGTAATGGCGCTTTAACTTAGTTTTGGAATTCCGTCAGAAGTTGGCCTAGTTTTGGAAATACAATACAAAAATGGCTTATATTGGGAAAAGCCCCAAAAAAATGGAGGGGAAAAAAAAAATTCAATGGCGTAACCGGTCGACCGACCGATCATCCCACCAGACATCCCCAGGCATTTGATGCAAGCAACAGTATTTGCCGTTGGAGCAACTCGTATCAAATAGAAGAGTCTTTTTTTTTTATCAAATTTGATGAAAAAAATAGTTCACCGTTGGAGATGCTCTTACATAAAAAAAATGAATAAATTACATTTTGTCTTTGGTTATCTTTTCACTTTAATCTTTAAATTTTATGTTTTAAATTTTTTTCTAATTAGACAAAAAAAAAATGATAAATTATTTGCCAAATAATGTAAAAAATATATTATTATATTAATATTTAGATTTGTACCAAATGTATGAATCAAATTTAATAAAATATTTTTATGCTACGTGGTTGTTAACTAAAATATTTTTTTTTTTTTGTCGATTTTATTTAATGAATATAGGTTAATGATTTAAATTAAAACAAAATTTAAAAAATTAAAGTTTAAATTGATAAAATTATAAATTAAGAATTTATTTTGTTATAAGAGTTAAAAAATATGGGAATTTTTTATAATATCTTCAAAAATATGTATCAAAAAAATCACCCTACAGGAATGAGAGTTGCCCGTGAGACTACAATTTTTTTTTTTTTGGCAACCAAAGTTTAATTGACTTGGTTAAGAACCATTTAATATTCAAGATAATTTTTTTTTTAATTTTTGCAACCAAAGTTTAATTGACTTCGTTGAGAACCATAAATAGTCAAGAAATTCTATGATGTACAGTCCTTTTTGTTATCGATTGAAAATGCATTATAGTAATCATTCAAATTTTATGCACTTTTTGAATGAAAATAGCTTTTGTTTTTTAAGAAGGATAACCGCCTTTGCCATGGTCTACTCCATAAAGTTGTTATATTTTTTACTTAATTGAGATTGAAGTTTATAAACATAATACATAATGACGATAGAGATTTTGACAAAAATGTAGGCTTTTAAAATATTGGGTAAATTACAAATAAATTTTCTGAAATTTGCTTAAAATACGAATTATCTCTTGTGATTTAAAAAATTACAAATGTCTCCCTATCAAAAATTTTTATTTAACAAAATTAATTGAAAAAGCGAAATTTCTAACCGTTCACCTATACAATAATAAAATTATTTAAATTATTAATTGAAATAAAATTTTACATTATTAAAAATTATTAATTAACTTAATAATTTATTAATAAAAAGACTATTTATTATGAAATTAAAAACCTTAAGGAGCATAATATAATTTCTAGAAGCACAAGGGGTAATTTATAATTTAAATAAACCTCAAAAGAGTGTTTGTAACTTACCCTAAAATATTTGACAATATAGATTTTGACAGAAATGTAGGTTTTTAAATTATTTTTTTTCCATTAAATGTAGAATTTACACTATGTTTGAGAACTTAATCGTAACATAATACCAGAATACACACAACGCCATATAAAACATAGGTAACACGTCGAACAGTAAGTTACTTAATAGATGAGTCCAAAATAAAGAGAAAATCGGTTTTTGCCCATTCGCTACTACAATAATCTTTAAAGACCACTCCAGATCACTGAGGAATAATCACCAAGCAAGCAATCTTCACACCTGGTAGAAAGACTGAGTAACAAAACTAGTGAAAGCATGCAGCTAATTGTTTTATTAAATATAATTATTATGACAACAATTGAATTATGGACAATTACAAAGAACTGATAAAATTAAAGGTCCTAGGACTGAGCCAACTTCATGTATAAAGAACAATAGTAACTTTAATTAGACACCGGAAGAATAAAATGTAACTTTGTAAGCTGATTACAATTCTGTGTTTCATAGCCCATTTAAGCTGATTACAATTCTGTGTTTCACACCCCAAATGGGCTAATCAAGTTGTTAAAATTTTGTGTAGTCGCTGTAAATCTTGAACAACAGTGCTGCTGGAGCTCTGCAATCTGGAATTCTATTGCAAGAAGAGAAAAAAATAGAGACTCAATTCACATGGCTACATAGGCACTCTAAAGATCAAATGAATCACAAACTCAATGAGTTGCGAACACTACATATACTTACCAAACAAGCCGATTCTAACGGGACACAACTTATGAATTTCAAGATCCAACAAGACCCTTGTACCGAGCATAGGAAATGATAAATACAAAAACGATGGCACAAAATGCCCCTGCACAGACGACCACCTGGTGACATCAAGGAAATGAGCATTTAAGTCTAAATTACTAGCGGTTAACAAATATATTGCCAAATTTAACAGGTGAAATTCCAGGCATACCCATTTGAACATGTAGCCGTAATGATCATTCCATGTATATGGAATATTCATGCCAAATATTCCAGCCACCAAAGAATAGATGGATAAAGAAACAGTTCCTGAACTTAGAAAAAGCTCTAGCTGCAGCCATACAGTAAAAATATGAAAATTTCTGTTGTCACGACATATACTCCCCACAAAGTTCAGTTACTTAAAACAGACAAACAAGAAAATAATCAAGACTATCAGTATCATAAAAAGCACGCATAATAAAATACCTGAATCAACTGGTTTCGATGATTGTCAAGCTACAAAAAGGGAACATGAAGTGTATTTAGACTAACATAGGTAAATCCCAACCAATTTAACTCAATCAATTAATTCAAATTTTATGTCCCAATTTACCTGAATATTAATGTAATCCTCTGTATCATCAATATACTCACGCAGCTGCAAAATTTGTGAGCATGGGTTTTAGTGGTTTTTCTATGTGCAATAAACAAATAATAAATAGGGAGTTTGACAATTTCTATGTGCAATAAACAACTGAATAGGGAGTTTGACAGTTTCGATGAAGATTGCCAGAATCTAGCTACCTTTAATAGACACTAATCAGGATATTACTTGTGCAGAAGACACATTTTTCCTCAGAATGAAGCAGACCATACAATACCATTAAACCCAGCTTGGAAACAAAAAGGTTATGCTCAGAAAGAAAGAGACCAGTGAAGAACTACGCAAAAGCCAAGATTGAGCAGTGATGGATTACTAAGGTTTGACTTGCCCAAATAAGCTTCCTGCCTAAAGTTACTTTTTCCTTTTTTTTTTTTTTTTTTTCAGCAACATTTAGGCTCCAATTGGATATGTGGATTTGAAATGAAGGGATTTGATGTTCAACTTTATAAAATTATAAGAAAGTTGATTAATGGATATAGATTGACAATTCTAATGTGAAGGATGCATAGAGATAGGAAAGATGAATTTTGTTAATATTTTTTACAAGTACAATCATTCATTAAAGGATTTCAAATAACCATATTCACCTAGTTATTTCAAATCCATTAATCTAAAACTCTCAAAATCCATTGTTGAAATCCATACCTAGAATATTACATTGAACTAAACATTATACTCCTTGAATGAGTGATATCAAATCCATTCATTTCAAATCCACGTATCCAAATGGAGCCTTAAATTTTATTAAAAATGGAAGAGAAAAGGATACAAAGTATTTAAGGAAGGACAAGAAGTCCTCCAAAATGAAACAGCACAATCAAACTGTCACATGAAGATTACTTGAATCACTATCCCTATACAAATCACTATCAAACACATCATACAAATTAGCCATTCAAAATGAAACAGCGCAATCAATCTGTCATATGAAGATTTAAATGAGCATACACAAACCATCCAATCATCAAAGGCAGCCAAATATCGTCCCATTCACTGAAACGCCCGACACCACATTAATAGAGATGAAGAATGGAATCAAGAATCCCAATTACATAAACATTATACTGAACGAGAGTAATATGGAAGCATTATATTCCATTTTGTCAAGCAAATATGAATATGCTGGAAATTTGTGTTAATGCATATAATAAGATAGTGGCATATGATAGTGGTGTTGGTGGTAGATAGTGGCATGTATAGAATATGATAGTGGTGTTGGTGGTAGATAGTGGTGTTGGTGGTAGATAGTGGTAGATAGTGGTAATATATAATATGTAAGTGGCATATAATGGGTTATAATGATGTTTGTAATATCTCCTATATAAGGAGTGTCATTTGGTCTTGTAAAATAAGAAGTTTTGAATATAACAGAAATATATTCCTTCTTCCTCATATTTTCGGAGTTCTGCTTCCTCATATTTTCTAAGTTGGTATCAGAGCTACAAAAAACACAGCAGCCCTAAAACCGTCATAGCCATGTCGGAAGTCACGTCCGAAACCACTTCAACCCCTGCCGCTGCCATTCCGGTGAAAACGTCCAACTCTCACTCTGTCCAAATCACCACCATCCGCCTAAATGGTGATAATTTTCTCCGCTGGTCACAATCTGTCCGGATGTATATCCGTGGACAAGGAAAGATCGGTTACATCACTGGTGACAAGAAGGCTCCTGATGTTAATGATCCGCTGTTCGACAGTTGGGACGCTGAAAACTCCATGGTTATGACATGGTTGGTCAATTCCATGGAGGAGGATATAAGCTCTAATTACATGTGCTATACTACTGCACAAGAATTGTGGGATAATGTTAGTCAGATGTATTCTGACCTAGGAAATCAATCTCAAGTTTTCGAATTAACTTTGAAGTTGGGAGAGATTCGTCAAGGAGATGATTCCGTCACCAAATATTTCAATTCGTTGAAAAGGTTGTGGCAGGATCTTAACATCTTCAACACATACGAATGGAAATCGGTTGACGACTGAACAAAGAAAAAGTCAACAAGAAATGGAACATGTATACATTTTTAATTGATAATTCTGTGTATCTAAAAATTATCCTCATAATAGAATTAAAAGATATATGCTTTTTTTTCTTTCAAATGAAATTAAAATACAAATTATCGCCATTCTAATAACAGAGAAGTAAATAATGTGAACTCAAAAACCTTCATATTCAAGCTTTCTGTCACTTGATTTTCAAATAAATTGATGTCAAGACAGCTTAGGTTTTGTTTGAAGAGAAAAACTGGCACCAAAACTCAGCAAAAGAAAAGGAAGACCAAAACCCTCTTACCTTTCTTTGTTCACTCTAAAATAAATTACAAGATTTACAAGTACATCCTTCATAGTTTTAGTGCCACACTATTTTACCAGAATCATACTGAAACAATTATTTATCAAGTATGTGCATTGGTAAAGTAGGATAAATCGAACGAATTCAATATAACATACCGTAGTCAATTTGTTCAATGTTCCATCAATTTGCATGAAGTAAGCCTGCAATATACCAGCACTTTCATAACACATTAACTTTGAGAGGAATAACAAACCAAAAAGCAAGTTAATGTTGTAAGTTTAAAACCTCAAGTAACATTTCAAGCTCCTCAACATCATCCTCATCTCCACGAACTGTTGCCAGACTTGCCCTACTCGCTCTAGATATCTTTGAACCTATGGTAGGCGACATAGGAAACCAATTGGCAGCACCTGAGCCACTTACAGGTGAAGATGCACCAGCCAACTTTCTAGACAAGTAAAGATCAGCCATATCATCATCATCATCAAGTAATTGTTCAAGCTCATCTCTCACCTGCAACCACCAATCAATGGAGTTTAATAATATGCAGCCTACACTTCATCTTTAGAAAATAAATAAATAAACAATCCGGATGCTAATTCATATAATATAATTAAACAATCTGACCACCAATAAATGAATCATTTTTCTTCCTAACAATAAAACCAAGTCCATCTCTCAACTAATTTGCTATTCACCCTTAGTATGCCTGACTATGTTGATCTATGTTTTTTTTTTTTTTTTTGATAAATAAACAAATCTTTATTAGAAAAGCATCAAGATGATGCAACGAATACAAAATGACATCCCCACGTTGGGGAAACCAAAAACAAACTAACCAATCACATCATCTAGAAAATCTAAAAAAACAAATAAGTCCAGATCAACCTTCCTCTCCAACCAACTATACATAATGACAAGTAAACAACTTTGTAACCAAGCAACCCCATGAGAAACGTCTAAGAAGGTACGCTGATTCCGCTCCAACCAAACAAGCCACATCAAATAAAACGGCGCCAACAACCACACCCGCCGACACCCAATCCGGACACCCCACCATGCCCATAACATATCCAACACCCCCTTCAGTTCGACACAAGCAATCCCAAAGAGAGAACATATAAAACCCCACAACCGAAAAGCCACCAAACAATGAAGAAACAAATGGTCCACCAACTCAGCAGCAACACAACACATGCAACACCGGTTCACTAAAACATGACCATGTCACATTAAGTTGTCCAAAGTGAGGTTCCTCCCTAAAGCTACTGTCCACATGAAGAATGCCACCATAGATGAAACACCCGGCACCCAAAACACTTTTCCAAGGAAAGGCGTCTCCACCATCCCCCATCAAAGCCCAATATAAGGATGTAACTGTAAACCTCCCCTTTGCCCCCACCTCATTCCACACCAGAACATTTTGTCCCACCCCTATAATTCCCAACCCGTATAAGAAACCCCACAGTTCCACCAACTGATCAGCCTCTCAATCCTGCACCTCACATCGTAACTGAATATCCCAAACCACCACATCCCCACCCCCTAAATAAGATACCACCGTCGCCTCCCAATCAACCACAATATTAAAAATCAACGGGAAATGGGCCCCCAGTGACTCCCCACCACACCAGTTATCCTGCCAAAACCTCACCCTCAACCCATCTCCTACCCTAAACCCTATCCACTTCCAAAACTCCTCCCAACCCAGCCAAATCCCTTTCCAAAGTCCACAACCATGCATGGTAATCATGGCCCCAGAGTTCCAATTCCCCTTTCCCACTCCACTCTATACTTCGAAGCCACCACCCTTCGCCAAAACCTATCCTCCTCCAAAACAAACTACCATAACCATTTCCCTAACAAGGCTCTATTAAAAGTCACCAACCGCCTCACCCCCAAACCCCCTGCTTGCTTAGATTGACAAATCCACCCCCAATAAACCAGATTATACCTAAATTCATCACCCCCACTACCCCATAAAAAATCCCTTTGAAGCTTCTCCAACTGGTGCGCCATAAAAAATCCCTTTGAAACTTCTCCAACTAGTGCGCCACTAACACTGGAATAACATGAATCGACAGGAAGTAGGTTGGAATGCTGCTTAACACACTCTTAATCAGCGTCAACCGCCCGCCTTTCGACAAATACTACCTCTTCTATCCCTCCAGACGACGCTGGACTCATTCCGCCACTCCATCCCATACCCCCTTTGCCTTCAATGAAGCTCATAACGACAAACCCAAATAAGATACCGGCAAAACGGACACCCTGCAACCTAAGACTGCAGCTAGAACTAGTAGCTTGTCCACCTCCCCAACTGGAATGAGCTCTGACTTCCTTAAGCTAACCCGGAGGCCCGACACTGCCTCAAAACATAACAAATCACATCTCAAATGTCCCACCTGCTCCACTTCAGCCCCACAAAAAATCAGAGCATCATTTGCATATAATAGATGAGATACACCAATAGAAGCCCCAGACAATGATCCCACCACAAATCCCTCCAATAGACCCCCACACACAACTCTATCCAACAACCTGCTCAACGTTTCCGTCACTAAAATAAATAACAAAGGTGACAAAGGATCCCCCTGCCGACGGCCACAATGCGTCAGGAAAACCCCCGCTGGAGTCCCATTAATCATAACAGACATTCGCACAGTCGATACACAAAACTTGATCTATTGGCACCAAATCTTCCCAAATCCCATACGGTCCAACACATACAGGAAGAAATCCCAATTAACGTTGTCATATGCCTTTCAATATCCAATTTGCAGATCAAACCTGGGCGCTTTTGCCAAATCCACAAATCCACACTCATTGGCAACCAATACTGCATCCAAAATCTGCCTACCCCTACAAACGCGTTCTGAGACTCAGACACCACAACTGGCAAAACTCATCTAAGTCTATTTGCTAGAACTTTAGCCAATAATTTATAAACACTTCCCAGCAAGCTAATAGGCCTAAAGTTCCGAACATCCTCAACCCCCCTTTTCTTAGGGATCAAAACAAAAAAAGTCACATTAAAACTTTTCTCAAATTGACTAAACAAAAAAAAAAAGCCTCCAATGTTGCCATCACATCACCATTAACCACGCTCCAACAGTGCTGAAAGAAAGCCATTAAGAAACCATCCGGACCTGGGGCTTTATCACCTCATATGGACTGCAGAGCCCCATACACCTCCTCCTCCATAAAAGCTTGCACCAAACTCTTCCTATCCTCCTCCGATATCATATCAAACTGAACCCCTACCAAGCTTGGGCGCCAAGCCCCTCTCTTGATACCAGAACAAATGTTGGTATAAACCCACAACCCCTTTCCTAATCTCCACATCCGTACATAGCTCTCGACCATCCACCCACATCCTACTAATCTGATTAACCCACCAATGTGCATTCGCCATCCGATGAAAGAATTTCGTGTTTCAATCCTCATCCTTCAACCACAAGCATCTAGATTTTTGTCTAAAGGACACCTCGTCCATACGAGCAATACGAACAAAGTCATGTCTTGCCGCCTCCTTCCGAACACTATCATCACTGGATAAACCCCCTTATACCTCTAACTCATCTAAAGTTTGGAGTAAAGACACCACCTCCGCCTTTTAGCTCTCTAACCGACCAAACACATCCTTATTCCATCTCTTCAAATCTCCCTTAATCATTTTCAATTTATAAGCCAGCATACCACTAGGAGTACCAGAAATGACATAACTACTCCACCATCCACGCACCAAGTCCAGAAAACCTTCTGTTTGCAGCCAAATATTCTCAAAGCATAATGGCATGGGGCCACGACAAATCCCCCCACTATCAAGCACAATGTGCCAATGATCAAATACTGGGCAAGATACTAGGCAAGGAAGACGTATCTGGACAACCTCCAAAAAATGCTCCTCCCATTCGCTAATCATCAGAAAACAATCAATTCGAGACAACCTCTGCCCATTGAACCAAGTGAAGCTTCCCCCCTGAATAGGTAAATCAACCAATTGCAGATTATCTATGAAAGAGCAAAAGGACCTCATAGCACCCGAGACCCGACTGCTCCCCATCTTCTCCGATGGCCATTTGATAACATTAAAATCACCCCCGACACACCATGGAACATCCCATCAGAACGCAATATTCTCCAGCTCCTCCAGGAACCCTCCTAGCTCTGAATTCTACACTGGACCATATACCCCAATAAAGGCCCACCGAAAGCCATCCTCCACACATTGAAACAAACAAGATACCAAAAAACCCCCAACCTCCTCCCCCTCTCTCACCACCACCTTTTTTTTCCAAAGAACCCCACCCGCCGTTCCAGCTAACGGCAAAAATGCCCACTCCACAAAGCGCCCCCCCTCCCCCCCAATACTTCTCGAATCAACTCTAGGCCCAACTCCTCCATCTTTGTTTCTTGTAGACACACAACATCTGCTTTTGCACCCCGCATCACGGCCTTCACCGCCACCCTTTTATCCTCGTCATGCAAACCTCGCACATTCTAAGATATAATTTTTAACTTTATTTCAACAACAATAGACCCCCATGATCTCTTCTAGCACCCCGTCCCACATTCTGCCTCCCATGATCATAATTAAGAGTGCATTCCAAATTCTTGAGCTCCTTGTTCCTTTTACCAGGAGTAACAAACGCCGTACCTACTCCCCTACTTGGAGTCCCTTGCCGCCAGGATGCCTCTACTGCCGCAAATAATTACATAGCCTCCTCTTTATAGCCTTTAAACGACAAACCCAAATAGCAACTAACCTCCCTGATGCGTTCCAGCACCCATTCGGAGACTACCTCAGACAATGGGACCTCAGCCCCATCCAACCCGCCACTAGTTTGAAACCTGTCTTAGTTTTGTCCCAAGAAATCCTCTGGTTCTCCTTCCTCCGTAGCTAATGGATGCAATACTAGGGGCAAACCCTCTCCACGACTATTATCACTCTGCCCACCTCTATTAGCCAAAGAGACACCTTCGTGTGCCTCCTCATCTAGATAGCCCTCACCATCTTCAGCTTTCGAACTCCCCGACCGAGAACTGTTTCCACCAGTATCCATCACCAGCTGCGACCTAAGATCGTCGCCACCAAAGGCGCGATGAGCCACCAACTCCCACCCCAACTTCATTTCTAACCGTTGATGCTGATTATCTACATCGGCCGACTCTGCCCGACCTATATCGCTTGGGTTCACATCGTCCAATTCATAACTACCAGTACTCGTTTCAACCCAACCCACATAAGTAGGATCAAAGTTGACTTGGGTTAACACAGGTTGGCTCAATTCAGTCCCCTTTAGGCTTGAGTTACGAATTGAAGATACCCCACATATTTGTGTCACAGGCCCATCCTTGATCCCCTCTATTTTTTACCACAACCCAAGCCTTGCGGCCCACAATTCCATTCCCAGCTTCTTGGGCCTTTGCTAAGCCCAATTGTCACCTTTGGAGCCCCCTTAGATGGCCCACACCAGGACCCACCGGTTGAGATTTGCCCCGTATACCCAAGGACCCCCTTTCCACCCTAGACTATGTTGATCTATGTTACATGAACTTTTCTAAATTTATGAAGTATCTATGTTGAAAGTTGAACACTGACACTTTACTATGGATATGCATCTAATAGTGTTTACTAATGTGTAGTTAGTAAACACTATTTACTCTAAATAAATGAAAGAAGTACTTCAAAAATGTGAAATTTTGTCTAGTCCTAGAGTCCTGCACATGAGAATAGATCTATGCACCGTTAGACACATCTCTGCGACCCCTGACACCTATACTCAAGTCCATGTAACATGGGTCTTGAATCTTGATTGAAGAGAATGAATAGAAAATGGAACTTTGTGATGTAGCATTTGTTCACTTCATCAAATCAATGAAATAAAGCTTCAATGGGGCATAAAAGGATGATATGCCAACTTCAAAGTTGCCCCAACTAATGTTACAAAATACTTGATCTTCCTCTTCTTCTTGAAGACGGTTAATCTTTACGTAGAGACATATATAGTATATGCAAATCTTTGTACACACACACACACACACACACACACACACATACACACACACAAAAAAAAAAAAAACAGCCTCATCTTTCTGTACTTATACTGGAGAAGCCCGATAAGAACATTTAAAATAAATAATACAATGCAAAAATGGCCATGTTTAGAAAAGAAAGGATTTTGATTATACAAAAGCTTCAACGCTCTGATAGGAAGTACCCATACCTTTTGAACCCGTGCAGTTAACCGCGTCATTGCACTTTTCAATTTACGAACCCGATCCAAATTACGGCTACTAATCTGCAAATCAGAGTTGTCATTTGCAAAACATTGAAATGGTGAAACAAGTAAAAAGTGCACGCAATGAGACTAATAAAAGCATCCCAACTAAAAATGCTTATAAAGATTAATACTAATGGAATACATGCAGATACAAATATCATCTTTATAGAAGTACAATTTTGTAAACTTTGGTTAAGGAATTAGTCTAAAGCAGAAATGTTTTTTTTCTGTTCTGACCTAAGCACAGGAGTTGAATATGAACTTCAAAGCAAAAGTTGTGAAATCTTAGCACAATAAATGATGCTCGACACTGGTCCAGCACAGAGTGATTGTTTATAATGTAGAGTAGCTGAGCTCAGAGACCACAAAACTTTGCTGCAGATAGGATACACAAAAATGGCCAATGGGTATGCTAAGGAGAGAATATATGTCATGTATTAATTTTGCCCCCGCCTTGGCTATAGTAAAGTCAAGCATTTCTACTGGTAGGAGGTTTCTTCTAGTTCTGTTGATAGTGTACGAACTCTATGCGCACAGAACTCACAAGGCTTTCAGAAAAAGCATTCATCTGGTGAATTCTTAGGAAACCCACACAATGCAACTATGAAGCACGGATAAATCTATAATGTGATATTGATACAACTTAAAAAGTATGATACGAGTATGGCTATTGGCTAGGATACGCTTGTAAAAATTAAACATAAATAATAAATATTTTTTTTTATTAGCTCCCATAAGCTAAGAATATTCACTCGTGGAACCTACACTTCCTGAACTCATTTTCCAACAATTACGGTTTTGGTAAACAAAGGCAACAACACAATGTTAGCTTTCCAACAACCATCACTATTAGATCACCATCATCAACAATTTCTAGCAATCATCAAACAGAGTACTACTGTACTACCACTTAAACAGAGCTGGGTTCCTGGAGCAAAGGAGGAAGACAAGTGCGATTTACATTCAATTGTTTGGTATTCAATTGCTTTCTTTGGTTGTGGATGAATTTTCTAGGGCTACAATCATTTGAAAAAACCAAGAGGGCAAAAGAGAAGCCCTAAAATCATTTAGCTCATCTTCTTTTGCTAAAGCCAAAATTGGGCTTTAAGTTTTAATATTTCCAATAAGACCCTTCATATTAGTAATTTAAAAAAAAAACCCTATTTTATTTGCTCCAACACCCTTTTTGCATCCTTCCTATGTTTGAGTTGTATCCGCTGTATCCGGGCCATATCTGAATCATATCCGAAAAGTTTTTTAAAAAAATTAAATAATTTTTGGATCCGAGCCATTTTTGAGAGAAATAACGAGGATGGAACTCAAAACCCCCCAGAAGCAATCCAAATACATCAAGAATATTACTAATCATAAAACTAAAAAATAAAATTAATGAAATTTCATAGTATAACAGAAAAAATTAATCAAACTAGTTTTGGGGCCAAAATCCTAAGTCCACAAATTCCTTAAATACAAGGAGTGGAGTGAAGGAACAAATACATCTGAACAATATACAAATTTAGTAAAGCAATTAACTTTATTTTTAAACCACGATTAGAGCTTGAAAGCAATCCTAGACTAGAAGTACAATCCAAAACCCCCAACATGCACATTAATGTTCAAAGATATGAAAAATACACACCTTAGATGTGAGTTCATCTAAAGCTGGATAAGCAGCAGTCTCCAGTTCGGTTGTACGAGCAGCAAGAAAACTACAAATGGCTTCCAAAGCCACCTCCAAGGCCCGGAATTCAAAAGGAGATTCTATGTAACATTACTCAGATCATTAGAACATCAAATATAGCCAGACAAAGCAAAATTATAGAAACCGTAATTCCGAAAACATAAAATTGAAAGAAAAAAAAAATTAAACATTTTAGAGAGAAAAATACATCTTTAGGAGAGCCCAAAACGGGGAATTCATTTTGTTATTCTAGTTATCTTTCCTTCAAACTTAAAGATCACTATGTCAATAGGGCATACCATCTTCTTCGCCAGTATCAACTTCATTCTGCCCACCTAACTCCTTTCCATCTGATTGAACTTCACGAATGGCATTTATAGGAGGCAATCGTCTTCGTAGTTCCTCAACAACAGGGATAACATTATCATCTAATGGATCTCGAAGCAATACCTATTCAAAACATAAAATCAATATCATAATTTGCTGATTGGCTCGGCCTCATTTGGGAATAGATTATTTTAGTAACTTTTTGATTTTTTCCAAAAGATGTGCAAAAAAGTAAAGAGTGTGATGTGAAAATTTATAGTTACTTTTTGAATAAAATGTTTAGTCCCCAAACAAGGCCAACTAAAATTCTTCCTTCCTTCAAAATAAATTAAATGCTAGCTTCCACATATTGAAAAGGTCCAATTCACTTACAATACTTTGGAACAAGGACCTAACCACACGCCTATTCGATAGATAACCAAAATAACGCGATTCAATCAAGAACATTGATTTGATCTATGTTATATGGACTCGGGTACGGGTATGCGGGTGCAGGTCTAGAGGCCAGACTCATCAAATCTTAAATTTAACAGTATGCAAACTCGTGAAAAAAGTGTCATATTTTTATATTTTTCATCTATTATATAAGTTAAAATGGTACTATATGTAACATACAACATCAAAAAAGTATTTTATAGCAATTACAGAACACATGATGCATGTAAAAAAGTGTTAAATACAAATTTATGAGAACTGCCCAATGGAAAGTATTGGACACATATATCACATCCTTGTCCGACTGTCGGGTGTTTGACACGGGTATTTGATCTATTTTGAAAAGTTCATGTAACATGGGATTTGACTATACTATTATCCACAATAAGTAGTTGATGTACAGCTAAAGCTAAAATATAAGCCATGTAAATTAGTCAGCAAAAATTGACCTTTTTGCCCCACATTTTGTAAGTTACATCAGAAGTAATGGACAAAAAAAAATAATAATTAAAAAAAAAATCGTAACGTTGACTTTAAGAACAGCAATTGAAAGAGCAAAGAAGCAGAAAATTCTTGATGAGCACAAGGGTCTCCTAGCATCCAAGTCAAAGCTTTAGCCTTGGACCATAAGCCCAGACCAAGTTTGCCTCGGAACTTTAATATACCCATAAAGCATAATCTCTACTTATAACCCCAAAGTTGACCTTTTTGTTTATTAAGATTAAGACAATAAGATATACAATCCATGAGTCTAGTTTAAAATCATCACTCTGACTAAAATCATCACTCCATACCCTTTATAGTAAATTCCCACATAATAAAATTACGCAACTTTTTCTTGTTTTAGCTTAAACCCTTTCAAGAACTAACCAAAAATTCAACTATACACATATTCACACCCAAAATATATATATATATATATATATATTCAAATAACAATAACAATTAAAGCTTACCTCTTCAGCAGTGATGATCGCCTTAATGTGCTGCGAATCCAAAACCCAAATTAAACGAAAGTAGCCCAAACAAAACCCATCAAACACGATTGAATATACAAACAGGGTTACAAATAAAATGCAAAAATTCACCTCCAAATTGAGAACGATGGCCTTTTCACGGCCAAGAATCGTAGAAGGGTAGGACAAGAGAGGATCGAGAATGCGAAGATCACGAGCGTGAATCTGGACACGATGCATGATTGCGTACTTGTCGACATCCAAGACAGTGCCTTCCCCAGTGGCGTCCATCAAAATCCAGCTCCTCGAACTGGCCGTCTTCTTCTTCGGCCCCACCTGTGGATCCACCGGCACGATGTACCCGTCTCGACCCATCTCTAACCATCCCCAATGTATCCGTATCTATATGTATAATTGTTGTATATATGTAATTGCATGTATATATCGCATATAGAGAGAGAATGAATGAAAGCCCTAATCAAAGATTTGCAGTGTGGACCAAATTAGGGTTTCTGTCGAGAGAGAAGACTCGCTTCGCTCGGAGATCACATAGCTAAAGCGTGGAGATTAGGCACAGAGAGAGAGAGAGATTGTGAAATGGACTGGTGTTCGTTTTTCTTTTTCCTTTTTTTTTTAACGTGCGTTGTATAAAAATAGAGGAATTATTTTATTTTATTTTTTTTTGTAAATTATACTATGAACCCTATGTTTTATACCAAATTTTACTTAATCGTTGTTTTTTTTAAAATTACACTATGAACCCCATATTTTACACCGAATTTTACTTAATCCTTATTTTTTAAAGATAAATTATAAATACATCTCTAAACTTTGTTTAAAATGTGAATTGTTTCTTATAGTTTTCAAAATTACAATCCGTCCTTAAATTTTATAGCAAATGATTCATTTTATTAATAAATTATTAAGTCAATTAATAATTCATCCAATTTTATTATTATATAAGAGTATGATTATCAATTTTATTTTTTTAATTCATTTTGTTAAATCAAAAATTTTGACAATCGAATATTTATAATTTTTCAAATTATAACAAATAATTTATATTTTAAACAAAACATAAAAGAGTATGTTTATAATTTATCTTTTTTTAATTGATATTCAAGTCATCTTCAAAGCAAATGAAGTAATTTTTTCATCTACTGAGAGGGTAATTTGTGTAGCCAAATTGGGCCGAGCTAGGTTGGAGTGGCAGTCAAAGATGTTTATAGGACCTACCTACGAGACCGTGCTACAAGACCTAGCTACGGAGCCATGTTATTGGACCTAGCTACACGGCCTAGCTATGAGACCTAGCTACGGGACTTAGCTACTTCCTAGTGGCGGTCAACGCTATGGTCGAGCTACCAAACAAGGTAGTCAAACGGAGAGAAGAGCCGAAGTAACTTAGTTGACCGCAATGTTAGCCGAGGTAAAGATATCAGCCGAGGTAAAGGGTCAGCCGAGGTAAAGGGTAAGTCGAGGTAAAGGTGTCAACCGAGGTAAAGGTATTAGCCGCGGTAAAAAGAGTTTAGCAAGTGGATCGCAAGTGTTAGCTCGGTCCAAGTGTAATGACGGTCACCAGATGGAGTAAAGGTCAGGGTATTCAGAACTAAGGTATTTGGGCTTCTTGCGGTGGACCTAGCTATCATTAGCTTGGTCGGGGGTTTACTACGGTTAGCACGATAGTAAGTGAACACCATAGTTGGAGTATATCAAACTGAGGTACACGCAGTGAAAGGAAGAACCAAGCTAGCTGGAGCTCGGTCTAGTCTGCGGCTTTAGCATGGTCATGGTAGCTCGGTCGTATTGACATCCAACCGTAGTAAAACCATCTCACTTGGTTTAAGCAGTGAGGGGGTGTTGAAGGATAAACATTATCTTTCAGGAATGTGATTCCTAGGAGGACTCTACATGGAGGAGTAAGAGTCCTACTTGGATTGTGCCACGCGGAACATATAAAAGCTCATAACATCACCTATGGAAAGGTAACACACAACTTTGATACACAGAGCTTTTTGTTTACTTGTCTATTTTGCTGACTTAGGCATCGGAGGGGTTTCCGGCACACACCCACCGGCTAGCTCACGTTTGTGTTTTCAAGGAGTAAAGTGACAACGTTTGGAGGAGCGCAGACTTGATCAACAGAATTATACGAAAAGAATTATTTCGTGTTCGTACATCTACTAACAAAAACATTCTCTCCTCTCCTCTTCCCTCCCAATACCTCCCTCAATTCTTAAATTACGCATTTTAGTGCCAATCTACGTACATGTATAAAAATAATAATATTTTCATATAATTACAAATTAGGAAATTTAGAGGAAAAGATAAGCCCACCGATCAATATGTTTGGTTTGAGTTTTTTGAATTAAGTTTTTTGAAAATTGAGTTTTTTGGTTTTCGTATTTTTTTATTTTTAGTGAATGTTTTTAAAATTTTAAATATTTTTTTTATTTTTTTAGACGCACCTTACTTAGATGTATCTAAAAAGTAAAAAATTTGTGAAAAATAATTTTTAAAAATTAATAAATACGTAAAAATATGAAAAATGTACTGAATTCTCATATTTTTTTTGTATTTTTGATATTTAGTGAATTTTTAAAAGGTTTTTTTCAATTTTTTTTTTACTTGTTACATATATATATGTTAGGTATGTCTAAAAATTAAAAAAATTGCTCAAAATATTAAAAAAATTTAGTAAAAACAAAAAAATAAGGAAAATAAAAAAGTAGAATTTTTTGAAAAGTGTTTTTAAAAAATGATAACCAAGCATGCGGATTATGTGGGTCTTGCTATTATTACGTGAATCTTGCTAAAAAGTGTCCTTAAAATAAAAATAAAAAATTTTAAAAATATAAGATCTTTTTCACTTAATTCAATATATTTTTATTAAAATTAATATATTTTTTAATAGTTTTATTTAATTTTAAAATATTTTATACACACTTTTTAATATTAAACAATATATAAGAAATACTTAGTAACATTTGTTTTATTATGTACTCTAATGTACTCAAAATTATTGTAACCTATTTTTGAGGTCCTAATTTAGATGTTTGATAATCTCAATGAAAAATGTTAGGAATACCAACAAAACTACTAATAAATTTATCAAATCACTTGCATTGGTGTAGGACTCACACATGTAAGTATTTGATAATTTTTTTAGTAAAAAGTTTGATATATCTAGCATTATTAAATCTCAATTGAAGTAAAAATGATTAGTGACTTTAATGATCCTCCCTTCATAAAATTATCAATTTTATTTTAATTGTTTTTGAGAACGTAGATTTTGAACACAAAAATCATTTATAGAATAGGACACAAATTTCTTACAATCCTTGTTATTTTATAAATGATTTTTTTTTTTTTTTTTTTTTTTTTTTTTTTTTGGTATACTCCTTTTGTGTATATAAACTTATTCTTTAGCAACACTGGGGGATTACATTGGGCTCCTTCCAGTTTTTAATGCAAAAATCATTATTATATCTTTAAATGGCTTTTTTTTTTAATAATTCTATATGCACTAATTAGTATATTAATTAGTGTATCAATTGATGATGTGACATAATTTAAGAGATTTTTAATATGAGCCATTTTTTGATAAGTCCTATTTATAACTGTTTTGTTCCATAAAACCCAAACTGTTTCTGAATATTCCATTAGGTCCATTAATTGTTAAAGGACGAAATAACCCTCTCCGCCTCTCCCGCGTGAAACCGATTCTGCAAAAATCTATTCCTATTCGAAGTATTCAGTCCACAAAATTTCCAAAACAAAAACTCAATCGACGAAACGATACTGATATTGCCTCCAGTAACCCTAGATTCCTCTTCGTCTCACCACTGCGAAGCTTCACATCGGAAGGAGGGTGCTTCGTCATTCGAAGATTGTTGTCGCCCCATTGAGTTTATTTTATCCACTGACTGTGATCCATACCCACCAACCATGACGAACAAAAGTAAGGAATACCATTCCACCTTCTGCTTCTCAAATCATAATGTCATCATTGATGTATACATAGGATTACTTAATCCCAAGACATATAATCATTTTCCTTTTCATTTATGATTTTGAGTTCCAAAAAGCAAGATATTGCTTTCATAAGGTAATTTTTCATTTCGCAATAAATGACCAAAAACTTCAAATTATTATCAAACGCTAAAAAAGTCTTTCAAAAATTGATTTTTGTAGACTTGGCCTAACAACGTTTTTTTAGTTCAAGTGGATTTGACAAATACTTTTTAAAACTTCATTTGATAAGGACTTTTTTAGTTAAAAAGTTAAAAAATTATTTAAAAAATTAAAAAATTAATAATTTATATCAAAAAGTTAAAAATTTTATTTTCTCTTTACTTTTTGTACATCTTTTCATAAAAAGTTAAAAAATTATTTTAAACATACTAATTTTTTTTATATCATATTTTAATTAAAAAATCAAGAAGTTATTAAAAAAAAATGCTCCCAAATGAGGCAGATTTAATGTTCAAAAAAGATTATGCCTTTCCACATGATAAAAAATATTCTTCTTTGTTATTGAAAAGTTGGGTGGAAAAGTAAACTCTTTTTTGTTTCTTTTAATAATATCAATCACGCATATATATATATATATATATATATTGCAGATCTGTTGCAGAGTTTTAATTAGAGCTGCTACATTAGAGCTCTCTTTTTAGAAGTGAGGTAAAAGATAAAATATAGGAAAGAAAAAGACAAATTAATGCTCCATTAGAGCTCTCTTTTTAGAGGTCTAAATCATTTTTCAATGTTTTTTAGAGAATTTTTTTGGAGCATATTGCTCAATTGTTAAAATCTGACTTTAGGTACATGAAAATTAACTCTCATTAAAACTATTTTCAGAAGTGTGTTAAAAGTCATTTCTTAATTTTTAATCTGTTTCCTCTCTCACAAAAAAGTTAAAAAGCTAAAAAAAAAATCAAAAAATCAGTTTTTAACCATTTTTCTAAAACACTCCTAAGTCATTGTGACATATGTTTGGCATTGACTTTTTGGGCTAAATTAGCCGCGCACAAAAAAAAAAAAAAAATTAAAAGTCAATAAAATAAAATATTACATTCAAATCATAATCATTTTATTTTTTTCTCACAAAAATAAAAAAATTAACCTAAACGAACTTTTTATCATAAGTAAAAATAGCCAAAAAGTCAATTAAAAAAAGCACATGTGAGCCAAAAAGTGGTACTTATGCACCTTCAAAATGCAACCATGAAATTTATTGTGAAAAGATTTAACGGTGTTAAATAATGTGGATCATGGACCTGTAGTGAGCTCATAGGTCTCTCAAATTAGTTAAAATTTGAAAACTAACCCTTTTTGTAAATACTTTTTTGAGTAGTCAACATTATTGTTTAAGATGAGATAGTATGCTGAGGACATTTATATTATGATCCTTTTATGTTCTTTGTAGATGACAACAGAACATATGTAAGTATTTGATAATTTTTTTAAGGTCTAAACTAAAACAAAGGGATAGCATAGATGCTCTCTCACCTTTTAGTAACTCATTAATTGTTCAAACAAACTATAGCCTAACAGGAAAAGCAAAAAAGGAAAAAGGGGATGAATAAAGAACAAAAAAACCACACATGCATGTAACTTTGCATCAGACTTCAAAAAAATATCAACTAATTCATATACTAACACATTTTTTTTTTAAAATCTTTCTTTGTCATTAAGGAATATGATATTTCAGAGGTTCATTGATAAGCCTAATACTGTAACTTTCAAATAATTAAATAACAAGTTTAAAAATAGCATACTGATGTAACATATTGAAGTTGCAACAATGAAGCTAATCCCATCTTTAGCATTATTTGCCTCGTTTTTGTGTAGAAAAAAGAAAGAAGAAAAACGAGGCGATGAATAAAGAACTGAAAAACCACACATGCTTGTAACTTTGCATCAGACTTCAAAAAAATATCAACTAATTCATACACTAACACATTTTTTTTTAATGTCTTTCTTTGTCATTAAGGAATATGATATTTCAGAGGTTCATTGATAAGCCTAATAAATAATTAAATAACAAGTTTAAAAATAGCATACTGATGTAACATATTGAAGTTGCAACAATGAAACTAATCCCATCTTTAGCCTTATTTGCCTCTATTTTGTGCAGAAAAAAGAAAGAAGAAAAAAGAATTCAGAATGGGTTTTTTAATTACACAGAGATTTAGTGAACATATTTCAACATTAATAATACAAGGTTCATCCAATTGGCATCAGTTCTCTCCTTTAGTCCCATAGCAACACAAAGCAAAATTCTGTTTTCTGGTTTTCTTTTTCAAGAACAACACAAATATTTGTTTGGTGAATCAAAAACAATTTTCAAAACATCATTTATGAAAACCACCTCTACATATTAAGAACGATTAAAAAATAATAATAAATAAATAAATAATTGTTGGGTATTTTCAAACTTTCATTTGTTACTGCTTTCGAGAATGCAAAACCGAAGTCCAAAAAGAAGAATCCCCCTGTTTTTGTGTTTTTAGTATTCCTATATTTTTTTTGTTGGCCAAACAATTTACGTGTTTTCTAAAAAGCGAATACAAAAAATAGGAAAATGAAAACATAACCAAATGGGTAGTACTTCATAGTTCAAACTCCATTGATCCAAAAAAAAAAAACAAAAAATGCTCTTCTAAATATCATGAATGTGGATTGCCTCTAATAACTAACTAATAATACCAACATATCTCTCTCTCTAGCCACTAAAATACTGGGAGTGGTATCTTTGGAAGAACAAATGGGATCAAAATCATAGGAGTCAATATTAGGTATGACATTTCGATCCTTTCGATCAGATTTACCTCCTCGCTGACTAAATTGTATGACATGATCCACTTATGTGGGAATGCCAGAAACACCATTTCCGGATTTGAACATTGGAGAGCCAAAGGCCTGACATTATTAAAGTCATCAATCATCCAATATTTATCAGACAAAGATTTTGCAATTGTGTCAATAGGAACCATCTTCACAAGTTCCCATTCCCCAGCTTGAAGATCCCATAAACACACCATCCTAGAATCACTCGCCAAGTACCGGAGCACACCATTGAACTCACCCAAACATGGAGTGTTGATCAACCCAGAAAATATCTTGAAATTCGGCTGCTTTATGAAACAAAATTTCTTCTCTACGTTACAACACACTACAACATCCCTTGTAGCTACCCAATACAGCGATCCTCTCATTTGAACTGCCGGCCCTGTGAACACGACACTAGAAAAGAAAACAGCAGGACTAGGGTTTTCATGTGAGCGAGGATGAAATTCAAAGTGTTCAGTTCTCCAAGTACGCAACAAAGATGAGTATGAATCAACCATTACAAAACCCTCTTTGGCAATGGGGTCAGCATGAAAATTAACCGGGATTTGCATGACTTGGTAGTGCCCGCTTTCTTGATCAACAAGAAAACCAGTTTTCACAGTCCGATGAGGGTACTCAGGAGGCTTTGGAAGCCAAATGAATTTCTTGGTGATGGGGTTGCAAACATAGTGCCTATCAACCTGACAATTTCGCAGTTTACATTGCTTACATGGCTTGGGGTGAGAACACAAAAGCAGGCCATGGCAACATGCCTCGATGTAAAAATTGAATGGAATTAAAGGCATGTTCTCATCTACTGCATACAAACCCCTCTCGATCAACTCACCCACTTCTAGTTCCAATCTAGATCCCAATGTGATGAACTCAACTTTTATGTCCTTATCAGCACTAAAAAAACAAGGCTCAGTAGAATTGAAATTCTGATAAAACACACCAGCAAACAGGCCTGGTTCTTTGTTGTTAGTACTAAATAGAGACGATCTGAAGGGTGAGGGGGCTATAGTTTTAGAGTTGATGAGAGAATACCAGTACATGCTCACACATTTGAGTCTGCATATGGACCTCCATGGCATTCGAGATATAACATGAGACAATATATCTTCTGGTATATGGGCAATGTAGTGAGGCTGATCAGGTTGATCTGGTTCAAGCTTTGGCTCCATGTTTCTCAATTTCTTGGGATGGTCACGGTTGTATTGTGTAAGACTCTTGTCATCATCGCCCATGGAAGCAGCCGCTGTTAGACCTCCCTAAAAGTTAGAACCCTAAATTTATTTTTTATTTTTCACGATATCCTTTCAATCTTGAAAGTTGCTACTTCATACGCAATGGATTATATTTATTATGGGTGTGTGATGCACGTTATTAACTTTAAATTTATATCATACATTTTGTTTTAGGATAAGATTTTGAGTAAATAGTATTTTTATAAGCCTAGAAGTCTTGTTACAGTACAACTCAAATATATGTGACGTGACCCGCTTTTCATGGGTGACCCGACACCTTCCACTCTCCAGTAAAACATAATTATTTTTTATTTTTATTTATTTGAAAATATTTGTATACACAAAATAAATTTAATTTTGGTATCATAAAAAAAAAAAAAAAAAAAGATAACATCGTTATTAAACCACTACTTAACTTCTCGTGGACAGTTGATTACAACTTTATGGTATAAAAAGAAAGGGTAAGTTACACCCCCCACCCCCACATTTCTTGAAATTTGCTTATTGTTGATTTATTCAATTGACATTTAACACTAAATTTTTTTAACGCGTCAAATAAAGACAATTAAAATAGCAGAACAAATATTTTCTTTTTCTTTTTCTTTTTTTTTATATGTAAAATAGTCACCTGTCTATTTCTTAAGGGTAATATTGACTATTCATATTCACTCACTTTTTAACAAAATAGAAATCACCCCTCTTACTATTTTCTTCCCCTCTCTCTTCTTGCCCATTAACCATATAATCAGAATTATATAGGAGACGAAGTTTGAACTTTGAAGCTTCAAAAAATGAGGAAAACAAGGATGATGTTGCTAAATAATGCTTTTATTTTAAGATACATAATGAATTCCAAATAAAAAATTTTAAAAAATTTTATACATAATGATATGGTGACTTGTGTGGGCTTATCACCTCAAAATATAAAGCCCAATAATGTTTGTTTCTAGTTTTTTTTAAAATACTTTTCAAAAAATTCTATTTTTTGTTTTTCGTAATTTTTTTGTTTTTATTAACTTTTTTTTAATATTTTAAGAGATTTTTTTTAATTTTTATACACATAACATAAATACACTTAAAAAATATAATTTTTGTAAAAAAAATCTTTAAAAAATTCACTAAATATCAAAAATAAAAAAATAAAAATAAATACAAAAATTCAGCATATTTTTGTGTATTTATTAATTTTTGAAAAATTTACCCATAAGTCTTAGTTTCTGAAAAGTTGAACCATTTAGTCCTAAAAGTTTTCTTATGCTCCATTTAGTCTCATTTACACATCAATCTAATGTTTGAAACATTAATCTGATATTCGAAATCTAATGTTCGAAACATTAATCTGATGTTCAAAATTTAATGTTCGAAACATTAATCTGATGTTTGAAACATTGTAATGGGACCTTTCAGTCTATAAGAAAAATTTTAGGACTAAACAGTGTATAAGCTATTAATTTGGGATTTATTGGTGCATCCCCCTTAATTTTTTAATATATTTTTTCACAAATATTTTACTTTTTAGATACATCTAAGTAAGGTACATCTAAAAAAAATGCTTAAAATTTTAAAAATATTTACTAAAAACAAAAAAAACACGAAAAACAAAAACTCAATTTTCAGAAAACTGAAACCAAACACACTTAGCATTTTCTTTTATTTTATTCTTGGCAGAACAAATGGATGTTCTGATTATGATTGAACAAGTAGGGGCTGAAGCTGCTGTTACATGAGTGTATCATGGAGGAATATTTTGCTGAAGAAATTCAATACAGGGACTAATGAGTTTCTAATTGGGATATCAATCAGATACTAATCAATTTGTTGTTTTGTTGAAGATTTCAAGGCATTAGAGCAACGCAGATTCAAAGTTGATTGTGAGTAGTGTAGTAGCAAGTTGTTGAGCATAGATTTTATGATGTTCTGGTTTGTTGTTGCAGACCCTGTTTAAATTCGGAGCAAACAAATCTAACCATTGAGTTCTCTAATGGAACAATCTTTGCTACAAACCATAGGCAAGATGATTTCAAAAGCCATTAAATGTAATATAGATATATGGGGATACAAAGCCATTTCTTCAGTAGTGGAAATTGTATTTTTAGTAAGAGTTATATACAGAAAAATATTTTGTTTCAGAAGTTTAGTTGATACCACTCTATCAGTAAGTGGCATCGCCCCTGCTCAGCTTCCTTTTCCTCTTCTTTGTTTTATTCAATATATCCTACTCCTCGGCCAAAAACAAGGCTATAGGGAATCAAATAGTGCATAACTGAGTTTTGTTTTTCTTCTAAAAGGTACAGATGAAGATAGATTCTATAGGTTCAAATGCAATCCCCTCTGATTTTTTAATTTTTTTTTTTTTAGGACATAGGATGTCGTATAAGTGAGGGGGAGTCTTGTAACTTGGACCCATGACCTTCCTATTGAAGTGCAAGAGTTCTGACCAACTACGCTAGTCCTAATTAGTTTGAGAGTCAGGTACTATATTAGCACATCTAAAAATTGAACCAAAGGCAAACCAAGTAAATCAAGAAATGCAGGGAAGCAACCACAAAAAACAATTAGGCTGTCAACACCCTGCATCCAAATGATCTATATGAAAACTTATAGACTCTAATAAATTATATTCATTTAATATGTCAACCATAAAAACAGAAATGATTGAAAATATAAAAAGGTTATTTTGGTAATATAACATAAAATAATTTCTTTTCTTTTCTCTTAATGAAATCTAACCAAACAAGGAGAGAAATCACAATCATTTCTTTTCTTTTATTTCTTACTTATCCAAACAAAAAGGAGAGAAATTACAATCATTTATTTTCTTTTCTTTTCTCTTATTACTTAAGTAATCATTTCTTTTCTTTTCTCTCCTAAGTTACCAAACATAGCGTAAGTGAGGGGGAGTCTTGTAACTTGGACCCATGACCTTCCTATTGAAGTGCAAGAGTTCTGACCAACTACGCTAGTCCTAATTAGTTTGAGAGTCAGGTACTATATTAGCACATCTAAAAATTGAACCAAAGGCAAACCAAGTAAATCAAGAAATGCAGGGAAGCAACCACAAAAAACAATTAGGCTGTCAACACCCTGCATCCAAATGATCTATATGAAAACTTATAGACTCTAATAAATTATATTCATTTAATATGTCAACCATAAAAACAGAATATCAGCATTGAATGATGAAAACTCATTAACAAATGAGAATAAATACATATTTTAGGGGAAAAGAAACATGAAAAGTCATGGACATCCTCTCCAAAAGTAACATAATACTGCTCTACAAAAAAATGAACCAAACAATTATGGTACTATCTTTGGTCAGTTAAAAAAATAATACCTCCAAAGGTTGTGTTTGAATGTTCAATGCCAATAGACTTCTTCAACGTTGTCCTTCAGATCTGTAGATAACTGTGTGATTCTTGATGCGGTAAGGCCTGGACAATGGACATACTATTTTCTACAGAATTGCCTTCAGCATTTCAGCTGATGAGACTTGAGTTTCTATGTGATCCTTCATGTCAAAACACATTATCTTCCTCTACTTTCCATTGTGTATGCTTGCAATGCATCACAATCATATGTTGATACTTGATTCTTCAAATTTTGGGTAAATTGAATTACCCTAACCTCCTTTGAGGTTTGAGAAAATACACCAAGCTCCATAATTTTAATATAATTATACTGTGCTCTCTTAAGATTTTAATTCACATAACACTTTCCCCCATTTTCATCAGTCATTCGTTCATCGTATTGATGGAAACATAATGTTTTCATCTCTTTTACCTTAGAGTAAAGTGTCTATACACCATGTGCATTAATTTCAATCATTGTAGCCTTACTAGAAAGGAAGTCAGTGTAATTATGCCAGACTTGTAGGGTTTATTATATTTTTTCCAAACCTCATGGGTGGTTAGTGTAATTTACCCTAAAAATGTTTAGTAATTCTTCAGCAAACTCTGCTAATTTATTTGGGTTTGTATACAAGTTTTTAGACAGCATGTCTGTTGGCACATAAATTTCAACTAAATTTATGACACGTATAAAGCCTATGATAGGAAAGTTGTAGGTAATCACTTCCTAAAAAGATCAATATAATCCGTTAAAATGTATAAATAAAACGACGTTGTATCTCAACGACGTTATTCAAGATGTTCAAGTGACACGTAGAGCCTACGAAAGATGACACCTGTAGAGCCTACAACAAGGACACCACACAGGATGAAACCCCAAAGATCAATCCGGTTAATCAGATATACGATTAATCAGATAGCGCTATCATTCAAAATTCAAATGGCGCTATCATTCAATTTGAAAAAATTGAAGATGAGGCATTCTTATCACCTAATGGCCCTCTATAAATATGAGGACCATCACACAAGACAGGGGATCAGGAAATCAGAAGTGAAAAGATCAGAGAGAGAGAAAGAAATTGAGAGCTAAAGAAGTCGTTACAAGAAAGAAGAAGAGAAGCCTAGAGAACTCAAGAGCCTATGCTAATGGCGATGAATAGGTAAATGATTCCAAACCCAAGAATTGTATTTTGTATTCGAGGGTTTAAAGCCCATAACAATTTCAATAAAATATTTATTTTTCTTAAATTGTCTTTTGTTGTTTATTTTGTTCTTCATTAATCGGAGGTTTCATTTGTATAAAATGTGTAATTAACAATTTGAAATACAAATCGGAAATAAGAACCTGCTATTCAAATAATCAACACTGTTTAGTCCAAAAACTAAACAATGGACATTTGTAACATAAAATTTTGAAATGTGTTGAAACACTTTCATGTTTTAAAATTTGTGTTTACAAATTCTGGCACACCCAGTGGGACTTATTTCTCCTCCCATCTTTTGAAGAACAAAAATATATATATATAGTTGAAACTTACTGACATATTCTTTTGTTATAGGAATGTTGAAGCAACTGTCAAGAGACAAAACTACACTCCAGTGGTTCTGAAATCACCAAGGGTGGAGATAGCACCCATCACCCAAGGGGCTCCGGAGCGAATGCTCTTGGCTGTCCCAAAGGCAGAACCAGTGAAATTCTGGAAAGATGCACTTCTTTCCCCTATCACCCAAGGGGCTTCGAAGCGAAAGCTCTTGGCTGTCCCGAAGATAACTGGTGTGACGAAGAAAGTCACACTTCTCCAGAAAGCTAAAAGTTTGAAAAAGATTACTGAAGATTATGTGAAAGCGTCGAAGTAGTACGCAACCGTGAGGGCCACAGCCCGAACGAAGAGCTTTCTAATTCAGGTAAAGGAGGCTAATTAGTTTGCAACTACGACTTTTGTTGCAACTTCAACGGGGGCAACAAAAAATGTTGTGGCCCAATTACTCAAAAGGGTAGAAGACTCCATTAAAATGGTGGGGTTTGCTCAGAAGAAAGCCTTTGTTGAAAATATGGCCATCATTAGGGCCATTGGGAGGAGGGTAATAACCTAAACTCCTGTTGATGGAAAAAAGGCCCCTATTGTTGAAAAAACAGTTGCGGCCTACGAACCAATAGTTCTGTTCAGAGCACAAAATCAGTCAAACCAAATTTCAATCAACTCTTAGGAGCCAAAGGAACACTCGTTGGCTCGACAGAATTCGAATAAGGAATACTCGTTGGCCCAACAGGGTTCGAATAAGGAACACCCGTAGTTCGAATAAGGAACACCCGTTGGCCAGACGGGATTTGAATCAACATCAATTGGTCCACCCTAGAAATATAAGGACTGTTTTGAAAATTCATGAGGAATTTGCAAAAACGCACACAGTTCCTTCTATGCCCCTAGGGGCTCGACTTGATATGTCATCAAATGGTCCCATTTCGAAAAG